CTGCCGCTCGGGGGGCCCCCAGCCCGCTCCAGTGAAAATCTCTCAAAAAAAAAAAAAAAAAAAGATAGGGACCTTATGCTACCCCTGCTCCCCACCGGCTCCATGTGGCCCAGACGCCCTTGCGTGCCACCTCGCAGGCAGGAGCGCTCTCCAGGAGCCCTGCTGAGTCATTTCTGGCAGGAGCGGGCTGCTGCGATTGCATGTCGACAAGGAAGGTGCTGTGTAGTCTCCAGGGCTCTGACCTCTGAGGCAGTTCCACTTCTCTGCAGGCTAGATGTATAACAAGCATTAAAATTATGTTTTGACACGAATTTTTCCTGTTTGTATTAGGTTGTAGTAACCTCTCTGATAAAGCCCTAGCTCGGCTGATTGTGTCTGATGATGACAAGCCTCTGGTCTGCGGTTTCCTGGCTCCCACAGAGGATGGGGCACGTGGACCCTGAGCCAGTGTGCTCATGTGCTCCGCGGCGGGCACTGGCGTGGGTCTCATAGAACACGCTCAGCCTGCTCCTTCTGCGCAGGCGAGGGCGTCACGGCGTACCGTGACTTTGAAAAAGTGCAAAGCGTAAACTGAGTAAAAACAAAGATGAGATTTTAAAAGACAAAATCAAAGCCCTGTGTATACTTTTTGTTTTGTTTTGTTTTTGCTCCATTTGCAGTAGGGCATGTGCTCTCGCTGGAGACAGAGAGAGAGAGACAGAGGAAGGTGAGAAAGCACCCCTGGGGGGCCATGCCAGTCCCTTCTCTGCATGCGCATGGACCCGGCGTGTTCTTAAAGCCACCAGGCCCGGGACTCCAGCCGCACATCGGCCATGTGGGAGCCATTGCGGACTGCCCCGGTCTGCGAGTAGGAGAATCTCCATGACACTCAGGGGGCTGGATGCTAAAGCTCCGAGGGTGGTTTAACATGTATCAAAGAAAACTCGTACTTAATTCGCTTTTCTACAGCTCTGTGACGCCTCCTCTGTGTGCACACACACATACGTGTCCTCTTCAGTTAGGACTCAGGAATCTAAGACAGGCATGGGACCGGAATATGTCAAGAGGCACGTGGCGGAACAAGGGAGTTAGAAGCACACTTAGTGAGGTGACCTGGCAGCTGGCCCTGCGCTTGGAGTCCCTGGGAAGGCTCGTCTAGGAGGCTCCAGGGTCTGGTCCCTGGGAAGGCCCGTCTCCGCGGCTCCAGGGTCTGCTCGTCTTGCTCGGCCCCCCAGGCAGTGGCAGGCACAGTGTCGTTGGTGCGTCCTGTTCTCCTGCCTCGCGCCCTCCGCCTGGACGAGGGTGTCCGTGCCCTTTTCTCGCAGCTTGAACTATCCCATGGACAGGAAACGGGTTAGAAGGACGCTGGGCTGAACAGGGGCCGCCAGGACACCACAGGCTGTGACCTTGAGGCGAGGGAACCCAGCCCTGCCGGGCTCTGTCTCTGCCGTGCCCTGGTTGTGGCCCCGACACTTTCCCAGGGTCCTGTTAGCCGCAGATGGTGCAGAGGGTAGTCCTTCCTGCCCCCAGGCCTGCCTTTCCGGCTCGGAGCTAAGAGGGATGGATTTCTTTTTGTTGCGGTTAAGAGCAATGTTGGGGAAGAGAATTCTGACTGGTCTTTTTGGTGTGTTGCTGCCCATCCCTGCAGTTGGGGCTCGCAGTCCCATAAAATGTGGGTGTTCTCAGGATAGTCATAGGATGGGGAGTCACCAGAATGGAGGGGCTTGGGAAACGGCCCACGTCTATTCCTGTAATTAGGGGCTGCTCTGGTAAAGGGGTCTCTCCTCATGCCCCACCGTACTCGGTCAGCTCAGGGTCAGCTGATCGCTTGGCTGCCATGGCGTAAAAATTCGGTGACATGGCGAGGTGTCGCTGCCCCGCCAAGCAGCACATCCCTCACAGCATTCAGAATATCGCGAGGGCGCTGCGCTGGGCTATGTGGAGGTTCATGCATCGGGCAGGGACCGAGGCCACATCCTCGTCTTCAGAAGCCTTTCCTTCAGCCCCACCTGTGTGTGTGGGCAGCACCTGGGCTGTGGCACCGGAGGCTGCGTGCCAGCTGTGGTCTGCCTGAACACACTGGGTTCCCAGCGGGCTACTGGACGGGCTGAGGGTTGCAGCGGGACCGACCCCTGTGAAGATCTTTCTCTTTCCCACATGGATGCATGTGCTCTATCATGAATTTAGAGGAAAGAAAAGAAAAGGAGAAACTTTATTTCTTCTTGGTATGTGCAGAACACTACCTAACTGTAAGTTCTCTTTAAATATCTCATGTTCTAAGATGTTGTTAGAATTTTTATTGTCACTTTTTGTATTTGTTAATATATTTGTGTTCAGTGTAAATATTTCAGCCCATTCAGTTTTTTAAAAATATTTATTTATTTATTTATTCATTCCTTCATTCCTTCATTTTAATTTGACCAGAGAGAGACACAAAGACAGAGAGAGGAAAGTTTGAAAGCAAGCCACCAGGTCCAGGACTCGAATCGAGGTTGGCCATGTGGGAGTGTCTAGCATCTTAACCACCACGCCACCTGCTGGTCCCAGTCCATTCTGTTTTTAAAGGGTTTTATTTAACTACATATAAAACACAGTTGTCTTGTAGCAATAGGCAGGAGTGAGCAAGTCTGTGTGATCGAGGGGCCAAGTGGTGACACCCATGCTCTGGAAGGCTGTCCCATGCAGGAAGGTTGATGGTTCAAGTCTGGGGTTCTCCCAAAGGACTCCTGGCAGCATTTGCCCTCAACCCAGGGCTGGCTGAAAACAGGGTAGATGGTCAGGGGAGGACCCTGATGGGGACTCTCTCGCTTGCTCTCAGGAAAAGTAAATGAATACACAGGAAAACAGGCTCACCACAGCATTATGTAAAACGCTTGGAAATTAGGCGTGGAGTCAAAATGAAATATAGTCCAAGTATTTTCTTCATTTTTATATGTTCTAGGAGATGAGAATGAATATGGAAAATATAGCTAAGGGAGAAGACAACTTACATTCAGAGGTGAGAAGGAAATTTTATGGTATGTGCATGGAACATTCAGCGTGTGTGTATGTGTGTGTGTGTTTATTGGCAAGGAAAAGGTGGTTTATTAAGTAAAAGTGGAAGTGCACTCCTGCGAGGTAGGAGCAGGCCTAAGTGGACAGAGGAGTGGGACTGGGCCCGCCAATTGTTCTCACCGGCTCTGTCAACTGTGGCTTCATCAGCTGGACACCGCCCACCAGTCTCCTGCTGTTCGCCGGGCAGGGAAGTGTGCACTCACTGGGGGCTTCTGTCTAGCCTGATCTGCCTCCATTGCTGGCTTTCTCCTGCTTCATTTTAAAAACTACTTGCAAAAGCCCTGCAAAAGCAACATCCATCTTCATTGTATCCCAAGGCTCTCGGCTGGGCTTAAGGAGTAAGGAGATTACTTTTCTCTAGAGACTATTACATTGGCAGGAGAGGGCGAGAGAGACAGTGAGACAGGAAGGATGTCCCTAAGTGAGGCTAGGGACAGAGACCCCAACTCTGATGGTAAGAAGTGGCTGCGACCAGATCTGAGCCGGTTAGAGCCAAGATGGCATGGAACGACCTCTGTCCAACCTGCAGCGTCGTCACGCCCTCTGCATTGTGCTGCATGCTGCATGATTCTCCAGGCCATGGTCTCCCTGTCCCCTGGGAAGGGACTAAACTGCTTGCTGTCTTCTCACGTGGGCTCCCTCAGGACGGCAGCTTCTCCATGCTTCTCGAAGCAAACCTGCCTTCACTCCCCATGACGGCACTTGACATTTCCCTGTGCAAAGCCGAGGGCCTTCACATCCCTGCGGGTTTGAGCCAACAGGGGCAGCTGAGTCTTCCTCTGGGAGTGATAGAACCCGCCCCAGACTAGAAAATAGGAAGACCAGTGGTTCCAGGAGAGCCATTGCCTTTTAACCTAAAGACAGACCGCAAACACCTTGATCAAGAGACAGAGGAAAGCCACAACCACATGTGGGCTGGAAAAATATAATGTCTTATAGAAAAAGGAAGGTCTGCCGCCCTGAGGGCTGAGTCGGGCCAGAGAGGTGTGCAGGCCGTATGGGAGCCGTCCATACCCAGAACTGGAGATCTCCCTCCAGCTGGCTTTGGCTGAGACTCATTGGGAATGAAGGTGAAAAGGATGAGGAGGCTGGGGTGCAGCGTGCAGGGGCCCCAGTTAGGGCATGCTGCCTGGCCAACTCCCACAGCTGTGTCGCAGGGTGCTTCCGTGTGAGATCCAGGCCCTCGGCGTTGCCAAGAATCGAACAAACACACGAGCAGCGTAAGGAAAAAGTGGAAGTGCCCTCCTGGGAGGCAGGAGCCGGCTGAGCAGACCGAGAAGGAGCGGGTCCAAGGCCTGTGTTTGTATTTAAAAACTAGAATACCCTGATACTCACCGTATAACCACCTGTGACTGTGTGTCTCATATTGTGAGTTTTGGCATTCGCTACGAGAATTCTCTTGTCTCTTGTATTGGCTCATTTCATTCTTTGGATGTTGTAATTCAGAAATTCCTCACCGAAATCGGAAAGAAAGTAATTCTTAATCTTGAGGCCGGTTAGGAGTAACGGGGGTTTTATGACGGCAGGAAGCAGCGTTAGACACGGGCAAGACGCTGGCGGAGATCAGCGACCGGTACGGGGCGCCCAACCTGAGCAGAGTGGAGGAGCTCGACGAGCCCATGCTGTCCGACGTAAGTGCTGGGTGCTCACGGCGAAACTGGGTGGACACGGGTCCAGGACTGACTGCCAGTGGCCTTTCACGTCAGAGGAAGGAGCCGGTGCCCAGAGTGCTGAGTCTGCCCTTTTTCAGTGTTGCTGCCGCATCCCTCGCCCCGTGGCTCTGTCCCCTCTAATCCCGTCCCATCCCCACCCCACCC